AGGGTTCTTCTCCATCCTAAGGAGAGTAGCAACAACTAGAATGGTCCAACTGGAGCATCATAAGGAGTTTTATAGCTTCTAGGTGAGAGGAGACAAATTTGGTTAGCATATCAAGAATACAAGGACCAAACAGGAGGACTATGAAAAGCATTAGGAGAGGACCAGCTAAAGGGAGGAGCCAGGATACCCAATTACATATGTTACTCCAAGAGTTCCATGAGTCTGCTAATTCTTGCCTCTGTTTCTTGATCCATTCCTTTAGTTGTTGGGCCATATCTCTAACTACCCCTGATTGGTTAACATAGAAGCAGTATTCCTCATTTAGGAAGAGACATATTCCCCCCTTCTCAGCAGTTAACAGGTCTAACCCTCTTCTATTTTGCAATACTACTGCTGCTAAAGAGTCTACCTGGTCTTGTAGGGTTACTAGGGAGTTTGCAACTTGGTCTATGTCATCTGTCAGATCTTGAGATAGTTTTTGGTAAAAGGAAATAGATGAGGCTACTCTCCCAACTCCAGTACTTACTCTGGCAGTGATTACCAACCCAATTGGTAGAGGTATACTTGGATAGCTCGTTTAGACCAGGTATGTGCAGCCAAGGGAACTGTAAGAGATTGGTTGTTGGGAAATATTTATTTGGGGGGTTAGAAATGCAAAGGTGCAAATTCTCTTTCAGTTAGCAGGCAGGCACAAATATGCATCAGTTCCACAAACAACGAATATTCCTGCAGGTGGAAGGCACAAGGGTGACTCTTGGTTTCTACCTGTTTGATTGTATATCTCAGTTTGATTAGATTCGTTGTTAGTTAAGTTACCTTCGGGGGTTGTTCCCTGCTGGTCTTTAAAACATAAGGAGGACTTCCCTATTAATTTTATATCAGTAACCACGGGCCCTATTGTGACAGTTGTGTTATCTGTTGATATGTTGTGGGGGATAGCCATATTGGTTATATTATCTGGGACTAGGGTGGCCTCATAATATAAGGGGATTAGAGAGAGACAAAGCCAACAGTTCTTGGCTAACTTAGGGTTAGAGGAGTTGAAAAGGCAATGGGTTGAATTTAGAATCTGGTATAAGTGGGAGTTAAAGTCATAAGGACCATTGTATCTGATTTTTGGAAGTTTGGTTCTTCTGGGAAGACTTCCAGAAGTCTGTTTTATGGAATTTTGTGCCTCCTCTTGGGTTGCTCCTTACAGGCTTGGTCTTGGACTCCTTCTCCATCAGACAATCCAAAGTGGGTTTGTTGTGCCCAGCAGGCATATTTGTCTGGGGTTCCATGACGTGATGTTCCCCGCTAAAGTTGTCTTGTTTTAATTCTTCCTTGCCAATAAGTTTTTCCATCCTTGGAACAGAGTGAGGTAGATTGATAACATTTTGCATGTCGATATGTATATGTGGTGAAGGCCTGATGTGTAGTTCCCTGTCATGAGAGTTGTTTTAGGTGATTCAGGGCAGGGGAAACGGAGGAGCTCATGTGACAGGTCTTGAAACAGCCATCGTTACATTGAGGAGGGGCATCACTTCTTGTGAGAAAACTCAGCATCAACTGTAGGAGAAATTTCATTTTGTTGGGGTAGGTTCCTGACAATTTCTTATTCCAGGTTGGGGACAGCAATCATGCAAGGAGTATAAGGAGGCAAATGGCTAACAGGAAGGTGTAAGTAAGGAGGCAAGGTTTAATACCGGGATTCGTCCAGCTGGGGTAGGAGACTGTTAGGAAGGCAGAGAACAAACATGCACAGAAGGACATCAATCACAACTCAGATTATATACATCTAAGGAGAATAAGGCATCCTGACACTAATAAGCAGAGGAAGACTAACAAGGGTTTGTGACTGAGGTGCCAGTCTGTGGGAGTAACTTGGGTAAGCCCTATAGCAAGGAGTATAGCAACAAATATGGAAAGAGAAATTGGTAGGGGATGACAATGAAATTTGAGAAAGAATGATTTGTTATAGTTCATTTAAATTGCTTGGTGATTTCCTCAAGCTTCTAATTACAGAGAGTTCTCAGGTGTTGGCTACAGGCCACTTATCATCTGCTATCTTCTTAAGGATGATCTGTAAAGGATTATTCTGGTCAGCAGTCACTTTCCATTCCAAGTGGTTGTCAGGTGAGAGGTGGGCTGCCTTTACTCGAGAATGGTGGATCCAGACGGTTAGTCCTGCAACCTTGAGAGCTGAGGGCGTGGTTAGTACAACTAAATAGCGTCCCTTCCACATAGGTTTGAGTGGTTCCGTTTTTCCAGTCTTTTTAAAAATTATTTATTTTTGAGACAGAGAGAGACATAACATGAGGGGGGAGGGACAGAGAGAGAGGGAGACACAGAATCCAAAGCCAGCTCCAGGCTGTGACCTATCAGCACAGAGCCCAACGCGGGGCTCAAACTCACGGACCATGAGATCATGACCTGAGCCGAAGTCAGATGCTTAACCAACTGAGCCATCCCGGAGTCCACCCTTTTCCAATCTTTACTCAAAACCTAATCCCCAGGTTTGTGAGGGTGTACAGTTATTCCTAGAGAAATAGGTATCCTGTTATTTACCCACCTATGTATCTCAAATATGGTTTTTCCTAATCCTTGTACTTGTTTTTGTATTTCTAAATTCCCTAGCTCTGTAAAGTCCCACTTGAATTTGACTAGTGGAGGGGCCTTCTGTATAGGATCTTGAATGGGGAGAATCCTAGTTTTTCCCGAGGTGTACAGCATATTCAGAGAAGAGCTAGGGGTAGTATATTCGGCCTGAATATACTATTTCCTGACATAGTTTTGCCATGGCTGATTTAAGGGTCCAGTTCATACGTTCCACTTTCCCTGAACTTTGGGGCCAGTAGGCTGTGTGTAAGTTCCATTGGATACCTAGGGTTTTGGCTACTTGTTCACCACCTTGGCCACAAAAGCCAGGCCATTGTCTGAGCCTATAGTTAATGGCATTCCATATCTGGGAATGATATCCCTTAGAAAGGCCTTGGTTACTTCTTTTGCCTTCTCATGCCTTATTTTGCATGTGGGTAGGTCTCAACCCAACCTGAAAATGTGCAGATGAATACCAAAAGAAATTTGTATCCTCCATTGGGTATTATTTCAGTAAAGTCCACCTCTAAATCCTCGAAGGGTGCCTGTCCACAGCATTGGATACCCATGGGCCCAGTGGGAGCTTGCTTGGCATTATTTTGAGGACAGAGGAGGCAGCATTGAGAGACCGAGGCACAGAAAGATGGATGTCAAGCAATTAGATAGTAAAGCCTCAATAAGTTTTCCAGGGTGGTTTTTCCCAAGTAGGTGAGCTCCTGCTGTTGAAGAACCACCTGGTGGGCTAGCTGCTGTGGTATATAGACTCTTTGGTCTGGAAGTACCCACCATCCTTCTATTGTCTGGCTTCCTTTTTCCTGTTGTGTACATTTTGTTTCTTGGATTGTGTACCTTGGGGAAGTTGATAGTTCTGGGGCCAGCATGATTTTTGAGGGTGTTGTCTGTTTTCCTGATGCTTGTTTAGCTGTGGTGTCAGCCCTTCTGACACTGAGTCTTTTCTTTCCTTTTCTCTTAATTTTATTTTTTATTTTTTAAAATTTACATCCAAATCAGTTAGCATATAGTGCAAAAATGATTTCAGGAGTAGATTCCTTAGTGCCCCTTACAAATTTAGCCCATTCCCTGTCTCACAACCCCTCCAGCAACCCTCAACTTGTTCTCCATATTTATGAGCCTCTTCTGTTTTGTGCCCCTCCCTGTTTTTATATTATTTTTGTTTCCCTTCCTTGATGTTCATCTGTTTTGTCGCATAAAGTCCTCATATGAGTGAAGTCATATGATTTTTGTCTTTCTCTGACTAATTTCACTTAGCATAATACCCTCCAGTTCCATCCACGTAGTTGCAAATGGCAAGATTTCATTCTTTTTGATTGCCAAGTAATACTCTCTCTCTCTCTCTCTCTCTCTCTCTCTATATATATATATATATATATATATATATATCACATCTTTACCCATTCATCCATAGATGGACATTTGGGCTCTTTCCATACTTTGGCTATTGTTGATAGTGCTGCTATAAACATGGGGGTGCATGTGTCCCTTCAAAACAGCACACCTGTATCCCGTGGATAATGCCTAGTAGTGCAATTGCTGGGTCATAGGGTTGTTCTATTTTTAGTTTTTTGAGAACCCCCCATACTGTTTTCCAGAATGGCTGCACCAGCTTGCATTCCCACCAACAATGCAAAAGAGATCCTCTTTCTCCCCATCCTCGCCAACATCTGTTGTTGCCTGAGTTGTTAATATTAGCCATTCTGACAGGTGTAAGGTGGTATCTCATTGTGGTTTTGATTTGTATTTCCCTAATGATGAGTGATGTTGAGCATTTGTTCATGTGTCGGTTGGCCATCTGGATGTCTTCTTTGGAGGAGTGTCTATTCATGTCTTTTGCCCATTTCTTCACTGGATTCTTTGTTTTCTGGGTGTTGAGTTTGAGAAGTTCTTTATAGATTTTGTATACTAACCCTTTATCTGATATGTCATTTGCAAATGTCTTCTCCCATTCTGTCGGTTGCCTTTTAGTTTTGCTGATTGTTTCCTTCGTTGTGTAGAAGCTTTTTATTTTGATGAGGTCCCAGTAGTTCATTTTTGCTTTTGTTTCCCTTGCCTCCAGAGACGTGTTGAGTTAAGAAGTTGCTGCAGGCAAGATCAAAGAGGTTTTTGCCTGCTTTCTCCTCGAGGATTTTGATGGCTTCCTGTCTTAATTGAGGTCTTTCATCCATTTTGAGTTCATTTTTGTGTATGGTGTAAGAAAGTGGTCCAGGTTCATTTTTCTGCATGTTGCTGTCCAGTTTTCCCAACACCACTTGCTGAAGAGACTGTCTTTATTCCATTGGATATTCTTTCCTGCTTTGTCAAAGATTAGTTGGCCATACGTTTGTGGGTCCATTTCTGTGTCCTCTATTTTGTTCCATTGATCTGAGTGCCCGTTCTTGTGCCAATTCCATACTGTCTTGATGGTTACAGCTTTGTAGTATAGTTTGAGGTCTGGGATTGTGATGCCTCCCGCTTTGGTTTTCTTTATCAAGATCGCTTTGGCTATTCGGGGTCTTTTCTGGTTCCATACAAATTTTAGGATTATTTGTTCTAGCTCTGTGAAGAATGCTGGTGTTATTTTGATAGGGATTGCATTGAATATGTAGATTGTTTTGGGTAATATTGACATTTTAACAATATTTGTTCTTCCTATCCAGAAGCATGGAATCTTTTTCCATTTTTTTTGCATCTTCTTCAATTTCTTTCATAAGCTTTCTATAGTTTTCAGTGTATAGATTTTTCACCTCTTTGGTTAGAATTATTCCTAGGTATTTTATGGTTTTTGGTGCGACTGTAAATGGGACCAATTCCTTGATTTCCCTTTCTGTTGCTTCATTGTTGGTGTATAGGAATGCAACCAATTTCTGTGAGTTGATTTTATATCCTGCAACTTTGCTGAATTCATGAATCAATTCTATCAATTTTTTGGTGGAATCTTTTGGGTTTTCCATATAGAGTATCATGTCATCTGCGAAGAGTGTAAGTTTGACCTCTTCCTGGCCAATTTTGATGCCTTTCATTTCTTTGTGTTGTCTGATTGCAGAGGCTAAGACTTCCAATACCATGTTTAATAACAGCAACACTGAGTCTTTTCTTCTTTGGTATCCTTTGCAGTGGGTGTCTGCTACTTCCCTCAGTTTCCACACTGCCCTTGATAGTTTTAGGATTTCTTCCTAATTTTTTATTTCTTTTCCTCCTGCTATCAAAAGTCCTCTCTCCTTGCATAGAGCCCCATGTACATGTAGAGTGGCAAAGGCACAGCCTGAGTCTGTGTATATGTTGGCCTGTTTGTCTTTACTAAGTTCCAGTGCTCTTATTAGGGCCCACAGTTCTGATCTTTGGGCTGACCATCCTTGTGGAAGGGCATTTGCTTCTATGACCTCAAAATCTGAGACTACTGAATAACCAGCATGGCTTTTGCCTTCGTTCATGAAGCTATTGCTGTCGGTGTACAGGATGAGGTCAGGATTTTGTAAGGGAGTGTCTGACAGGTCGGCTTGGGCTAGAATAGACTTCAAGTACCTCTAGACAATCACGTTGTGGGGGCCTTGCCACTGCGGGCAAGGAAGTGGCAGGATTTAGAGTTTTTATGGCTTCCAATATTATTCATGGGTTCTCACATAGCAGTCCCTGATATTGTGTCATTTGAGCATGAGTTAGCCAGTGTTTCCCTCTGGCATCCATCAAGGCAATAACAGAATGAGGAAGCTTAACACCTAGGTTTTGCCCCAATGGGAGTTTGTCTGCTTCCTTGATTAAAAGTGTGGTGGCTGCCAGGGCCCTCAGACAGGGTGGCCATCCTGCCACAACTGAGTCAGTCTGCTTTGAAAGGTATGCCACCGGTCTTTGCCAAGGTCCAAATCACTGGGTGAGAACCCCCAGGGCCACCCCATTCCTTTCATGTGTGAACAGGTTGAAATCTCATGATACCTCTGGGAGTCCCAAGGCCGGTGCCTCTGTGAGTTTTGTTTTTATGGTCTTGAATGCCTTTTCTTGATTAGGGCCCCAGAAAAGGGGTGCCTTTTCTTCCCCCTTTAGTGCCTCTTATAGAGGCCTGGCCAACTCTGAGAACCCTGGGGACCATATCCGACAGAATCATGCTGCTCCCAGGAACTCTTGGGCCTGCCATCTGGTAGTGGGAATCGGAATGGCACAGACTGCCCATTTCCTTTTGGCTCTCAGCATCCATTTGCCTTGGGTACTTTTGAAGCCCAAATATTTAACTTCCTATTGGCAAATCTGTGCCTTTTACTTTGACACCCGGTATCCCACCTCTGCTAGTAGCCTGAGTAGGGCCCTGGTTCTCTCTCAGCACTGGGTCCGCGTGGGATTGGCTAGCAGAAGATCGTCCACATATTGGAGGAGAGCACATCATAAGTCCCATCTCAGAAATCTGGTTAAGTCAGATGTCAGTGCCCCACTGAAGAATGTTGGTGAATTTTTGAATCCTTGTGGCAGGCTAGTGCAAGTGAATTGCTCCTTTGCCCCCATGTAGGTTTTCCCATTCAAAGGCAAATAGGGGTTGACTCTTAGGTGCTAGCTGGAGACAGAAAAAGACATCCTTTAAATCTAGACATATTAACCATCCTGCTTCAGAGGCTATGAGTCCTAGTAGAGTGTATGGGTTAGACAACACTGAATGCATTGTGACAACTGTTTCACTGATGGCTCTTAGGTCATGTAAAGGGCAGTAATCATTTGTCCCAGGTTTTTTCACATGCAGTAGGGGAGTATTCCATGAGGGCTGGCATTGTTTGGAAGTCCTTATTTGAGTAGCCTGCCCAAGTGTGTCTGGGTCCGCAGGCATGCCTCCTGTGGGACCATATATTGGTGTATTTTGGCAGGTTGGGCCCCAGGCTTTAGGTCAATTAATATTGGGGGGGGTGGTTTTTTGCCAAGCTAGGGGAGTTTACTTATACCCAAACTGAAGGGAATTCAGCTTATAGCTCAGGGACCACCGTTGGCTCACTGGGAGGGGAAGTATATAATCTCCATTCCTCTTCCCATGGAATCGTCAGGGACAAAATCATGGGTTGGGCTTTTTCGTTTACATTCAATTGCATCAGTCCACCCTAGGTGAAATCTATTTCTACACCCAACTTAGCTAGTAGGTCTCTACCTAACAGTGAGACCGGGCAGTTGGGAAGATACAGGAATTCATGAACTATTTGGTGACCCCCACCCCAGCTGGCATTGTCGTGGACTGCAAAATGGCTTTCAGGTTTGCATCCCAGTGGCTCCTATCATGGTGACTTCTCAAGCCGACAGAGGTGCACCTTGTGTGTCACCACAGTGTTTGGCCCCAGTATCAACCATGAAGTCTATTGTCTGGCCCCCTACCTTCATTTTGACCATGGGCTCATGGGGGCCTACTTGGATAGAGCTGGGTCTTTCCTAATCAGAACCCACTCCTGCCAGTCTGATCAGGTAAGTCTCAAGTGGTTCTGGTTGGTAGCAGCTGGGTGCAATGGAAGTGTTAGGTTTCCCTTTTTGATGGTTGGGCCATTCATTTTTCCAGTGTCCAAATTCTTTGCACCAGACACATTGATCCCGTCCCAGTGGTGCCCTTCTCTGTTCTTGAACCCCTCATGGTTTCTGTGGGGGCCCTTCCTGGAGAGAGTGGTTGCCCCAAGGCCTCAGTCGGAAGAGCTGCCTTTTGTTTCATTCTTCAGTCTGCCTCCTTTCTGGCAGTGGGATCCCAATTTACAAAAACCTTGTTGGCAATTTCAAATAGTTCAGTGGTGTTCTTTCCAGTGAATCCTTCCAATTTTTGGAGCTTCTGTCTAATGTCACCTTGGGCCTGTCCCACGAAGGCAGAATTGACCATGTGCTAGTTTTGGGGGGGCTTCTGGGTCCAATGGAGTGTAAACTCTGAAAGCTTCACATAATCTTTCATAGAAGGCAGCTGGACTCTCTTCTGGCCTTTGTAGACCTCAGGTACCTTTGCCACGTTGGTGGGCTTTTTGGTCCCTGCTTTAACCCCTGGGAGGAAGGCGAGTTGGTATCTTTCTAATCTGGCCCTTCTCACTTTAGTGTTGGGGTCCCAGTGGGGCTCCTTTTCAGGCATATCCAGTATCCAAGCCTCAACATCTAGTTGTCCATCTGGTGACTGAGTCTAGAGCCATTTTCTGGCTTCAGTGATGATTCGTCAGTGCTCTTCTGTGTTGAAAAGGGGAAGCAGAAGCTGCTTACAGTTGATCCAGGCAGGGTAGTGAGTCTGGATTATGGATTCTAGGAGATCTATCATTGCCTGTGGCTTCTCAGTAGAGCAGTGTGTGGTGCTTCCAGTTGAGGAGGTCAGTAGTGGAGAACGGTTGATAGTAGAAAACCAGTCCCCCCTCTTGTTGGGTCCCATCGGGACCTATACTCTGGGGACCCTAGTCTCCCAAAATGGCATCTGCATTGTCATTGGGGGCCTTGGCCCTTGAGCCATGGACTTAAGGTATATTCCTACCAGTTCAGGTGTTCCTGGTTGGGGCAGACTGGCTGCTGGCAGAGGCAAGACCATCAGGGGTGGACTGTCAGGCAGGCAAGGTTTCCCTCCTTCAATTGGTGGGGTGCTGGGGGCATACAGTGGTGGAAATGGAAGGACTTCTGAATTTTCTTGGAGGATAGAAGGTGGTTTTTTTCTGCTGAGAGTTCTTCTTCTCGGCTGGTGTCACTAAGATCCTACACTGTTCCTTACTATTAATGCAGAACCTGACCCAAGGAGACTTGACTTGGGCCATTTCCATCCACTGATTGATGTATGGGAATTGATTCAGGTGGCCAGGATCTCCACTATTTGATAAACAGCTCGGACTGTAAGGACATCTAGTGTGCCCTCAGGGGGCCAGCCTACACTGAACGTAGCCCATTCTAATTCACAGAGGGTGCATAATTTCCGGGGGGTTAATTTGACCCCATAGTCACCTGAAAATCCCTTTTTAAAATTCTTAATCATAGACTCCAAAACAGTTTGTTTTGAGGACTGTCTCTCCATCCTGGTATCCTAGATGGATCCCTTCCAATGTACGGTGTCACAAGACAAACAGGAAGGCAGAGGTCGCTTCATCTGCTTGGCTGCTCCCCTTGCGGGGACTTAGATTGCTCTTAGCATTGGGAGGTCAGTATAAACCCCTGACTCAGATCAGGCCTCTGTGGACCTGACTCTGCCTTGAGCCATATAAGGTCCTCATGGAATCGCAGGGTAAGACCCACTCAGGCTACATAGCCAAAACCGTGGTGCTTGGGCACTCACACACATATTCAGACAGTTTGCAGACTTCCACCCAGGACTTCCCTGTTCTATGTTGTGACTGTCGCCCAGGAGGTGACCAAACTCCCCTTCTGCCTCTAGGGTGGGCCTTAACTCAGTCTTGGGTCCCATCCTGGCAGAATTTTCTGACTCCCCCCAGGGTCCGTTAGAACGCAACTGGCAGCTGGTTATTATTGGGCCTGGCAAGGGTCAGGGTTCAGTGAAAACCACTGGTGGTGCACCTTCCTTCCCGTCTCCAGGACCGAAATGGTGGTGCCTCCGCTGGTTCTCGACAACTGTGGCGCAATGGGCCAGACGGGCTATCATCTTCCCGGCCAATGCACCAAAATGTTACTGCAAATACTGGCTCCCAGGAAGCGATAAGCGAATGCCTTGGAGATTCAGAAAAGAATCGCACTGGGGAATCAGAAAAGACTTTATTTCGCACCAGTGCTGGCCCAGTGGAGTCACCTCCAAAGGCTGAGCATCTGGATCAGGTTTTACTGGTCTTTTATACACATATGCTCCCGGGATGGGCGGGGCTAGTACAGTCAAGCTTCTGGTTCCTGACTGCAAGCTGATACAAGAGGCAAGCAGATTGCAGAAGCCAAAAACATGCAAGGAGAGTATCTGGCCTCGGACATATGGCTGCCCCTTTTTATCTGCTTTTTTTTTTTTTTTTACCAGCTTTCCTTCTCATAACAATATTAACTCTTCCAGTCCATGAACACAAGATTTAGAAGAAAGACCTAAAATAAAAAGCCTAACTTTACATCTTAAGCAATCAGAAAAAGTAGAGTTAACTAAGCCCAAAGTTACCAGAAGGAAGGACATAATAAAGAATAGAGCAGAATGAATATAATAGAGACTAAAAAACAACAGAAAATATCAATGAAACTAAAAGTTGGCTTTTTGAAAAAATAACTTGATAAATCTTGGGCTAGACTAACTAAAAAGAAAAAAAGACTGCTATAAAATTAGAAACAAAAGAGGTAACACTACATTGGATGCAACAGAAATACAAAGGATCTTAAGAGAATATTATGAACATTTATATTCCAACAAACTGGATAACCTAGAACAAGTGGATAAATTCCTCATAACATACACTCTAACAAGAATAAGTCATAAATAAATAGAAATTATGAACACACCAATAAATGAGTTAGGAGATTGAATTAGAAATAAAAAATACCCCCCCAAGGAATGTCCCAAACCTGAAATCTACCAAATGCTTAAAGAAGTGTTAATGCCAATGCTTCTAAAACCCTGCCAAAAATTTAAAGAGTTGGGTACACATCCACACTCATTCTATGTGGCCAACATTATCCTGAACCCAAAGCCAGATAAAGACATTACAAGGATATTGCCTAGGATACATGATGGCAGTGGAGTAGTGGGACCCTAGGCTCATCTGGTCCCTGGAATCAAATAGATAACTGTCAAATTATCCTAAATACCCCAGAAATCAACCTGAAGACTGAGAGAACAAACTCTACAACTAAAGGGAGAGAAGAAGCCACATCAAAGAAGGTAGGAAGTAAAGAGACATGGTTTAGGGGAGACAGGGATGGTGGGTGCTGCAGAGGGGGAGGGAGCCATGGTCATGGAGAAAGCTAAGAGAGAGAGAGAGGAGCACACAGAGGAACACACAAGGAGAACATTTCCCCAAAGCCACTAACTGAGAAAATGAGAAGGGATGCTTAAAGCCTGGAATTTTAAAAGTCAGCAAGCTCGGTTGAGATAGAGCCCTTAGGGCACTGCCCTACTCCTGGAGAGAAGGCAGGCAAACAACACAGCGCAGACTGTGTGGACAATCTGAAGAATTCCTGGGGCACACAGTGGGGAGATTATTGACTCCTCTTAGAGTGTGTCCCTGAAAGGTAGCATTCACAGAGATAACTCTCTGAGGACAAGGGAGCCAGCTGGAGCCATTTCCTGACTCTGCTCCTCAGCTTAAACACCGAGGTAACTGCTGGAAGCAAGGCAGTGCCAACACTGGCTGCCTAACTTGCTTTACACCAAGTCTCACCCCACCCCAGTGCTCTGGCAAGACTGTCCTTCTCAGTCAAACTTGTCTCAGTCCTAGCACAGTGGGCCCCTCCCCAGAAGACCAGCATAAACCCTAGCCCACACCACATCCCAATCCTGGAGTTTAAATATTTTTTTTGATGTTTATTTTTTTGAGAGAGAGCAAGGGAAGGGCAGAGAGAGAGGGAGACATAGAGTCCAAATCAGGCTCCAGGCTCTGAGCTGTCAGCACGGAGCTTGACAAGCTCAAACCCACGAGTGGTGACATAATGACCTGAACCAAAGTCAGACACTTAACCAACTGAGCCACCCAGGCGCCCCTCCAATCCTGGAGTTTTAAAAGTCAGCAGGCTTAGTTGGAATAGAGCTTGGAGGACACTGTACTGCTCCTGGAGAGAAGGCAGGCAAACAACCCAGAGGCAGACTGTGTGGAAACAGCTTTCTGAAAAAACTCGAGAGTCACTCAGTGGGGGAGGTTATTCACTCTTCTTGTAGTGCTTCCATGACAGGCAGCATTCAGGGAGACACATCTTCAGTCACAAAGGAGTAAGCTGCTGCCATTTCCCTCCCCGACAACTCAGCATCAACACAGAGCCACTTGCAGTAAGCAGCAGACTGCCAACACTGGCTGCCTAAACTGCTTACACCAAGTCCCACACACTGACACTCTAGCAGGAATGACCCTATTTTTTTTTAATTTGCAATATTTATTTATTTTTATTTTCCTTTATTTTAAATTTATGTATTTAATTCAACTTAGTTAACATACAGTGTAGTATTGGTTTCAGGAATAGAACCCAGTGATTCATCACTTACATATAACACCCAGGGCTCATACCAACAAGTTCACTCCTTAATGTCCATCACCCATTTAGCTCATCCCCACACCCACCTCCCCTCCAGTAACCCCCAGTTTGTTTTCTGTATTAAAGTCTCTTATGGTTTGCCTCCCTCTCTGTTTTTACCTTATTCCCTTCCCCTGTGTTCACCTGTTATGTTTCTTAAATTCCACATATGAGTGAAATCATATGATATTTGTTTTTCTATGACTGACTTATTTCACTTAGCCTAATGCACTTTAGTTCCATCCACGTTGTTGCAAATGGCAAAATTTCATTCTTTTTTTTTTTTTCAACGTTTATTTATTTTTGGGACAGAGAGAGACAGAGCATGAACGGG